ATTTTTGAATGTTTATCTTGTATCCCGCTACTCTGCTGAATCTTTCTATTAGTTCCAGTAGATTTCTCGTCTGCATCCCACTTTTGTCATGCTCCATCAGGGACTCTCTGTTGTGTTCCCTGTCAGGGCAGTCATTGGTGGTAGCCGGGCACCATCTAGTTTTTCTGGTCTCAGGCAGATGATGTCTCTGGTTTATGTGGCCCTTTTTGTCTCTTGGGCTAATACCTTCCTTGTGTCTTTGGTGTTCTTCATTCTCCTTTACTTCAGGTGGTTGGGACCAATTGATGCATCTTAGGTGGCCACTCGCTAGCTTTTTAAGACCCCAGATACCACTCACCAAAGTAGGATGCAGTACATTTTCTTAGTAAACTTTGTTATGCCAGTTGACCTAGATGTCCCTGGAAAGCATGGTCCCCAGACCCCTGCCCCTGCTACTCTGTCCCTTGAAGTGTTTGGTTGTACTGAGGAAACTTCTTAGCTTTGGTTTAGTCCTGTTGTGCTGACTTCCCCTGTAGTCTGTGCTGTCCTTCCCTTCACCTAAGATAATTCTTGTCTACTATCTAGTTAGTGAATAGCCTTTTCCCTCTCTCCCCACCCTCATAACCATCAAAGAATGTTTTCTTCTGTGTTTAAACCTTTTCTTGAGTTCTTATAATAGTGGTCTTACACAATATTTATCGTTTTGTGACTGACTAAATTCACTCAGCATAATGCGTTCCAGATTCTTCCATGTTATGTTTCATGGATTCATCATTGTTCTTTATTGTTGCATAGTATTCCATTGTGTGAATATACCATAATTTGTTTATCCATTCGTCCATTGATGGGCACCTAGGTTGTTTCCATCTTTTTGCTATCGTGAACAGTGCTGCAATGAACACGGGTGCATATATCTATTTGTGTGACAGCTCTTATTTCTCTAGGATGTAGTCCAAGGAGTGGGATTGCTGGATTGTATGATACTTCTAGCTTTTTAAGGAAGTGCCAAATTGATTTCCAAAGTGGTTGTACCATTTTACGTTCCCACCAACAGTGTATAATTGTTCCAGTCTCTCCACAATCTCTCCAACATTTATTACGTTTTTTTTTATTATTATTATTGCCAGCCTTGTTGGGGTGAGACCGTGTCTCATTGTAGTTTTGTTTTGCATTTCCCTAATGGCTTATGATTGTGAGCATTTCTTCATGTGTCTGTTAGCCGCCTGAATGTCTTCTTTGGCAAAGTGCCTGTTCATATCCTTTGCCCATTTTTTAAATTGGGTTGTCTTTTTGTTGTTGAGGTTTTGCAGTATCTTGTAGATTTTAGAGATTAGATGCGGATCGGATTTGTCGTATGGGCTACCAGATTTTTAAAGGCTCCTCTTTTCTAGTTTGCTGTGCCAACAAGCTGCCATTGTTATGTATTGTCTAGATGTAACCTGTCTTCCCCTTATAAATGTTGCAAATATGTAGACCATTATATGAGTCGGGTTTCTCTGTTAGAGCCCTTTCCTTGATATACTAGTCCTGCTGTTCCTGTTTGTGATCTCTCTGGGATTAAAATTCAGGAGATTGTGTGCATTCTGCTACTCTTATGTAATTTTTTTCCTTACCCCAATTTTACCTTTATACTGCATGGACTGAAAAAAACCAAAGCCAAACCCATTGCCGTTAATTTGTTTCCAAATCATAGCAACCATATAGGATAGAGTAGAACTGCCCCCCAGGGTTTCCAAGGAGTGGCTGGTGGATTTGAACTGCCGACCTTTTGGTTAGCAGCCTGAGTGCTTAACCACTGCACCACCAGGGCCCCAAAAGAAATCAGTACTAGTATGTTTATGCCCATTTTGAAAAGTATCAGCAGGGGATGATTAGTTTATGGTGCTTCCATGTAACACTACACAGCTGTTAAAAGGATGAGCTATTAAATGGAATGGTATTCATGATATAAAATGGAAAAAGCAAGTTGTCTAGCAATATATATAGTATGATACTGTCAGTGTGGATATGCACTTAGACTTGGGCAAGAGGCCCCTGTTCTCATCCCCATTCTCCTCTGGCTTTGCTTCTTCCCATGGATTGACTAACCAGGTTAAAGCATACTGATGCTTACAATGTGCTGAAGGCTCACTGGTGGGCTACCTTAACGGTATTCTGGAGAAGTACTGCTTTTACCAGTTGAGTTGTATGTTTACCTGGAGTCAGTTTTTTGTGTTCAAACCTGTTTTTGCAGGTGGCAGTCATTGTTGTACTTTTATAGGTTAAATATTTATAAACCAATGAAATAGGAATGTGGGGAAAACTTCAGAGATGAATAGCTAAAAAAAGTTGCTGACAAATTAATTGTGTCTAAGATAACTAAATAATTGGGGAGGATTGAAAAAAAAATCTAGGACTCTGAATTCAGGTTCCTTCACTTGTATGTTTAAGTTTTTGATCCACTTTAAAGCAACAGAAACTAGAAATTATAGATGATGTGTTATGTTTGTGATTTGTGTAATTAAAACAACTCCAGTCAGGTGACCTATACTTAAAAAGACCTTGCCTCAAATAAAAAGATTGGCCTGTGTAATCCTCTGCTTCAACTGTGTTCGTTTTAGACATCTGCACTTGAAAAGTATTTACTTCTAAGAACCTAATATTTGTTTTGTTACTTTTTATCATGACAATTTTCAAACATATAGTAAAATAGGCTATTATAATGAATACCCATATGCTTATCACCTAGACTTATCAATTGTTAACATTTTCTCAGGTTTTCAACATCTATTTTCAGTATTGCCTTGACGGCACACAACAATTTTTTTTCATTTCAACTATAAGCACTGCAGTATGCATCACTGATGACTTTATTTAAACACAGCCACATTAACATTCTTTGCAAAATTAACAGTAATTCCTTAATATCATCTATGCTTACTCCGTATTAAAATTTCATTTGTCTCAAGAATGTCTTTTTATTGTGCATTAGATGAAGGTTTACAGAGCAAATTGGTTTCTCAAACAATTAATACACATATTGTGACATTGGTTGCCAACCCCACGACATGTCGACACTCTCCCCTTCTCGACCTTGGGTTTCCCATTAGCAGCTTTCCTGTCGCCTCCTGCTTTCTCGTCCTTGCCCCTGGGCTGGTGTGCCCATTTAGTCTCATTTTGTTTTATGGACCTATCTAATATTTGGCTGAAGGGTGAACCTCAGGAGTGACTTCAGTACTGAGTTAAAAGGGTGCCCGGGGGCCGTACTCTTGGGCTTTCTTCAGTCTCTGTCAGACCAGTAAGTCTGGTCTTTGTGAGTTTGAATTTTGTTCTACATTTTTCTCCAGCTCTGTCCAGGACCCTCTTTATTGTGATCCCTGTCAGAGCAGTCAGTGGTGGTAGCCAGGCAACATCTAGTTGTGCTGGACTCAGTCTGGTAGAGGCTGTGGTAGTTGTGGTCCATTAGTCCTTTGGACTAATGTTTCCCTTGTGTCTTTGGTTTTCATCATTTTCCCTTGCTCCATATGGGTTGGGACCAGTGAAGTATCTTAGATGGCTGCTCATAAGCTTTTAAGACCCCCTGATGCTACTCACCAAAGTAGAATGTAGAACATTTTTATAAACTATGTTATGCCAGTTGAGCTAGATGTCCCCCAAGTCCATGGTCCCCAGCCCTCAGCCCAGTAATTCAGTCCCTCAGGGAGTCTGGAGGTGTCTATGACACTTCCATGACCTTGCCTTGGTCAAGTTGTGCTGACATCCCCAGTGTTGTGTACTGTCTTACCTTTCACCAAAGTTACCACTTACCTATTGTCTATTTAGTGTTTTTCCCTCCTACTGCTGCCCTCTCTCTTAACCATCAGATTGTTTCTTCCTATGTGTAAACCTTTTCATGAGTTTTTATAATAGTGGTCTCGTACAGTATTTGTCCTTTTGTGATTGACTCAAAAAAGCAGGATCCAGATAAGGTCCACACATTGCATTTGGTTATTATGTCTCTTACAGTAGCCCCCCCACCTTTTTTTTAAAGCTGTTGATTTTTTAGAGAAACTAGATTATTTGTTTTGTAGAATATCCCACATTCTACATTTAGCTGATTTTTTCCACATGGTCTTTTAACTTGCTTCTCTATACCCGTATTATTAGAGCTAGAATTTTGATTAATTTGGTTAAGTTTTTAGGCACAAATCCTTCAGTTGTAGTGTGTACTTTATGTTGCATCACTTCAGGAAATACATAATGCTTGGGTTGTCCCAGACTTAATGATAGTAAAGTTGATCAGTGAGTCCAGTTGGTACCAGCCCCATCCCTCCATTATAAATTTCCCTATCAGCCTTTCACTTTGATTTTAGAGTCAGTCTATTGATGATTGTTGCCGTTTCTGCTATTTCATTAGGAGTTGCAAAATGGGATTGTTCTGTCATTCTTTCTGCATTTATTAGCTGGGATTCTCATTAGCATTTTTGCCACTCAGAAATAAATTCTTATAAGAAAGGCAGGATAAATTCTTTATGTTTTCCTCCTTTATTACATTTTGGAATGAGTTGGTGCCTTGGCAGCCTTCAATCATGACCAACGAGTTTTATTTAAGGGATCAGATCAATATGAACTCAAGAATTTCTGTGTATTTGCTGTGTTTCAATTAATAGCGGTCATTTGTTTTGATGCTCAAATTTTTCATTTTAGATCAAGTTAGCACCTGTGTTCAATGACCCCATTATTCTTTGAAAACTTCTTGTTCTCTGGTGTTACCCTATCTTTTGATTAACCTACTGGTTCTGAGTAAATCAGTTAAGAGGACTTCTACAGAATAAGCTTATACGTACACAATTTCTGGAAGGAAAAACAGGAAGCTGACAAGAGTGATAATCTCTGGGAAGTGAAGAAAAACCCTGTTTTCTGTATTGATAGAATTTTTTAAAGTGTAAAAAATAATCATGTAAGGGCGTATTTTCAATTTTTATTATGGGCTGATAATAGTAATTTCTGTAGAAAGAACTTCATATTACCGTAATTTTAGTTCTTTATTGTCTTCAAAAATTCACATCAGAATTCATTCATCTGTGATCCTTAACAATATACGCTTAAAAAACCAGGTCCAGAGTTGTAGGAGTGTGTTATTTACAGAGCTAAGCAGGAGTTTAACTGTTCGCTGGAGCTCGAGTGTGTCATGCAGGCACTTCAACCTCTCATGAGCGATAGTGCATGCAGCTATTTCCTCCGCAAAAATTGGTCCCACTCTATGCCCCAGCTCAAATGATCGTACCCAAACCAGAATTCAGACAGTTATTCTAAATTCCTCTTTGCCTAGGACTGGCACTAAAAAGATGATTAGTTATCTGAAGTTCATATTTGAGCGTTCTGCGTTTTATCTGGCAAACACGCTTTGGGAAACAGTTGGTACCTCTCCATTACACCCTCCATTTCTGCAAGAGGTTTTCTTCTTAAAATCTCAGGTTGCTTCAACGCGCTGCTGTAGCTGATACCCAAGCAAGAGAAAAAAAAAGCTTTGGCTGAGTGGCTATACTCCGAACGCGAGGAAATCGGCAGTGTTCAGTAAATTTCGGACAGCGAGAAAAACGCAGGAATCAACAACCGGCTGACGCTCAGACTTGGGCCGTGGGACCGTCCTTCACACCAAGCAGGTTTGTATGCGCGACTGTGTACTTGACGGCCCCTTTTGCAGCGCGTGCCGTAAAGGGAGGTTGCCGACGCTGCTGTTCTGTCAGGTGAGGTTTGGGCGACTCTGCTTGGTGCCTGGGGATGGGCGGGCGCTGCGTCTAGTTCTCCTTGGCTAGGGTAACCTCACTGGGCATTTTCCAGCATTCAGGCTACCTGCCTACCCTCCTGGCGGGGAGGCGGCCGAGCCGGGCCATAGGCTGAGAGCGCTCCGGGCAGGATATCCCTTAGTGAGCCAGTCCTCGAGCATCTTGTGGTAGACGACCACTCGGCCAATCCTCACCACGCTCCTAGGTGTGTCAGCAGGTAAAATCCGCATACTGGGACAGGTTTCGTTTTGGAGGGTGGTCACAACCGTTGTAAGAGCAGGGCTGAGGTGGAGAAGACGTTTGAGCAGGGTCATGAGACATATCTTGGAATTTGCTAGAGGGTCTGCGGAGAGAGCGTCAGATTTCGTGACCAACGTGTGCAAAGATACAGAGAAAGTAACTCCCAGATTTAGGTAGCACTGTATGCATGCTAGGGTAATGCCTGGAGGGATGTGTGCACGGAAGGAAAATCCAAGAATGTGGGGTGAGCTGATGTTAGGCCGTAATTGGGAAGGACCTTGTGGAGTAACTCCATGGGCAGTGGGGAGCTAAAACAGGTTTATAGAGAGTGAATAACTTAATTAACCATCCGTTCCTCTTCTGATGTGCGTGCTGGGTTCAACTCTTAGTTCATTTGGAGAAGCATTTACTGGGGCCCCGTTTACGTGCTTAATAATAGAGTGGACGCTGCTAGCTATGCTAAATAAAGTTTCACACGGCTTTGGCATCTGCCTTTTGGTTGCACTGTCAACTGGAGGATGTTGGGAAGACAGGATGTGTGTAGAGGTGATTGTTAAAAGCTTTGGATAAGAGTCCATTGAACTGGGTTCAGATTTCACCATCAATGTCTCAGGCAACATGAGTCAATCAATTCTTTCTGGACCTCAGTTTTCTCAGATGTAATAAAGAGAACTACATTATATCTCAGATTCTTTCTACAGTTCAAGATGGCAGGTTTCTGAATAATAAAACAAATATCAAAGTGAATGATAGAGTAGTGCATTAGGAATTAGGAAAAGAGGGAAGCCCGGTCTGCAGTTGAGCTGGACTCTTAGGATGGATAGGGTTTGAATCATCAGAAACGATCTCTGTTAAGCACCATGGATAGTTATAGAAAGCGGGAATAGATGTTCATATTTTAGAGCCTTTGTGGAGATAGATTTAGTGAGGTTGAGGATTTGGGAGGGATGGCATTGGATAATGAAGGAACTCCAAGTGGAAAGAAAGTGGAGTATGTTCTGAAGGGGGAGAAGAAAGGAATGAGAGAGAGGTCGAGAGAACTATCCACGGGACTTGATTTCTTGGATCTAGGTGGTTGATATTTTGAGCTGGGTTTCTAAAAAGTGAATGTAATTGCTATGGACAAAAAATGGGATTTCTCTCAGAATTCTAGCGTGGAATAATGTTTTGGTAGTCAGGTGATTCAGAGTGTAGCTCTGGTGTTGTCAGTAACTGGCTTCTTGGGCTGTCACTGAATTCTGAATCTTTTCTCCTCTGATATTGTTGGACTGGGTTGTCACTCTTCTTTAAAACCTGTGAGTCAGATACAATATGTAGATACATTTTAAAGAAGAGAACATTTAGGCATAGAGAGATCAACTGACCTGCCCAAGGTCATATAGGCTGGAAGTGGCAGAGCAGGATATGAATTTAGCGGTCTGTCTCCAGAGCCTGTACTCTTAACTACTCAATAGGCAGTGATGGAGGGAAAGATGTTATAAATAGAAGGAATAGCATAGCCAAAGGTACCAAGGTGAGATAGCACTTTATCAGTGGGTTTATATAGGTAATATTGCCAAATAAACCATGTTGTTGTTGTTAGGTGCTGTCAGGTCAGTTCCAACTGATGGTAACTCTATGTACAACAGAACGAAATACTGCCTGTTCCTGCACCATCCTCACAGTCGTTGCTATGTTTGAGCCCATCGTTGCAGCCACTGTGTCAGACCATCTGATTGAAGATCTTTCTCTCATTCACTTACCCTCTACTTTACCAAGCTTGATGTTCTTCTCCAGGAACTGGTCCCTCCTGATAACATATCCAAAGTACTTGAGACAAAGGCTCGCCATCCTCACTTCTAAGAAGCATTCTGGCTGTACTTCTTCCAAGACAGATTTGTTTGTTTTCTGGCAGTCCATGGTATATTTAATACTCTTTGCCAACACCGTATTTCAAATAAGCCATCGAAGGTCTTAAAGCAAGAGGAAGTGACAAAGTGATACTTTAGAAATAGTTTAGCTTTGGTCCCTAAAATGATTTTTTTGAGGAAAGACCGGTGATATTCATGTAGGAGGCTTTCTGTATACGCAGAGGGTAATAAGGCTTTTGAATTAAGCTAACTATACTGGAAATGGAAAAGAAGTGACAATTTTTAGAGGCACTGAGAAGAATATACACAATTTGTTTACTCATTCGATGTGGAATTAGAACCACATCTAGTTTATTTTGAACATAAATAATTGAGGAAATAATGATAGCAACAACAGAACTCGATGAACAAGTCATCTAAGAAATCAGGTTTGAAGGTGGATAGCGATTTGTTTTAGATACTGGTGGACTATTCAGGGAGTCCTTGGGTGGAGCAAATGGTTAGTGTGCTCAGAAGGGTGGAGGTTCAAGTCCATCCAGAGGCTCTTTAGAAGAAAACCCCAGCGTCTAAAAAATTAGCCATTGAAAACCCTGTGAAGCAGAGTTCTACTCTGACACACATGGAGTCACCATGAGTTGGAATCAACTCAACAGCAACTGGTTGTTTTTTCTTTCAGGGAACCATTGAAAGTTTTTGATTATGGAAATAACTTGATTCCTCTGTCAACAAGCAGTGTATAGGTAAGTGTGATCTTTAAGGTTGTGTGTCAGCTTGGCTGGACCATGATTCTCAGTGGTTTGGCAGTTATGATGTAGTTTGTCAGTCGTATGATGATATGATTGCTTCCTTGATGAGATTTGATATAATATCATCACCTCCACGATGGGATTTGCTGTGAGTAGCCAGTCACTTGAAAGTAGCCACACTTGGGGGTGTGGCCTGCATCAGATATGAGTGGACTTTTTGGCAAGGCTCATGGGCTTTTGCTTGCTCTGGATCCTGCATCTGGCTCCTGTTCGTCTGATTTCTGGTTCTTGGAACTTGAGCTAGCAGCTTACCTGCTGTCATGTATGTTGATCTTGGGATTCATCAGCAAGAGCCCTGCTGTCTGACCTGCTGATCTTGAGTTCACCAGCCCCTGCAGCTGCGTGAATCAAGAGGCGTCTCTGTCATGACCTGCAGACTTGGGATGTTCCAGGCTCTACAACCACATGAGCCATTCCTTGATATAAACCTCTCTATATATATATTTATATGCTTTACTGGTTTTACTTCTCCAGAGAACCCAGCCTAAGACAGTAAGATTATGGGTAGAAAGTGGACACAGAGACATCAGTTAAAACTAGAACATTAGGTACCATTTGAGTCTAAATTAGAATATGACAGTGAAGGAGGAAGAGGGAGTTGCTGCCAGAGATATTTTAGAGGTAAAATCAATAAGCCTTGGGCTCTTTTTTTAAGTATCACATTATTGATTTTTAAGTGGCAGCTGTATTCCTATTGAAGAGATACTACTAGCAGAAAGGAACATTTTGAAGGCCAGTAATTGTCCTTTGCAATTGAATTGCCTTGGAATTTATAGACAATAAATAAAGTAAAATTGTCTTATCATTTTGCTAATAAAAATGTAGTTAAGTATTGATGACATATTTTGAATATTCATTTCATGTAAGAATTAACTGTAGACTAGAGATAAGTGTCCAAAGAGAAAACAAGATATTAATTTGTACTTAATGTTTCTAAGGCCTTTTGTGCTCCCCTCCCCGCCCCATTTATTAATTCAGGCTTAGAAGAGGCTGAGCTATAGCACATTCTGAATGCCACTTTAGATTTCACTAGGAATCAGTATATACTAACTTGATGTACTAGTTAATAGAAGTGCAAGAAAGTGAACTGAAATGGAAAATGAGTTATTGTTCTTGTTATCTTATGGCCTGGCCTTATCAGAATATTTGATTCCTTCATCATAGGAAGTTTTAGCTGGCAGCAAAAACTAATACCATCATCAGTGTTGTTTCATGTTACTAGTTGTTATAGTTTTAGGAAGTACAAAATAATGTACATACTCTGTAGTTCAGGTAGATTATTCACACCACTGTTGATATCATTTCTCTTAAGTAGTTTGTTAATCTTATATAATCTCTTATAGAGCTTGCTTTTCATAGACTACAGTTCTAGAAGCTTAGTGCAATTGTTTTAAAACCCCAAACCAAGACTTAGGATTTTTAAGATGCAGAGCAAAGACGTTTGTGTCCTCTTCTATCTGAAATTACCCGAAACATCAAGGAAAATGAGAGACAGAGATGTAGTTACATCTTTGATGTGACTAGAAGACCTATACTCCCAAATCAAAATTTTTGAGAAATAGTTGCCAAATGTAAGCAGGAAGAGCTGGAAAGAGAATGCTGATAGAAAGAATTCTCAGATGGAGCTGACAAAGCAGAGATAGGTCTTGTATTTACAGCGGGATCAGGATGCATAGGAAGGCAGTGGGAGCTTCCTTGAACTGTTTGGCAACATTAACTAGCAAGGAAGAAAAGACACGTGAGGAAGCACACAGATATACCATCTTTTCAGGAAGCACTCTCTTTGTAAGGCAAAGTAGAGAGATTGTGAGTAGCCTTCTGTTGCCTACCTCCAGCATTTGGAAGAAGTATGTAATGGCTAAATAACTTGCTCTTGCTTGTTTTCACACAGGCTGTCTCTCTCTTACACATACAATTGCACAAACACTATTATAAAGCTTCTTCGTATATTCTACTCTAGAACATAGCCTTGTTTCTTCTTGCACAGTCCTCTTGCATATAACTTATCCAGAGGGGGCTCAGGTCATTCATAGATAAATAATAAAAAGGAAATGAGCAGGTATCTACACAAAAATACTACAACAAAAAGGAGAGAAGAAACAGGAAAAAACAGGTGAAGAGAACACATGAGAAAACTGTTATGGCTCCTAAAATTTTAATGACACAATCACTTCTCTCAAATAAGAAAGTTAATTGGTTCAAGAACTAGGAAGAAATAGTAAGACAACAGGATATGGTGAAATCACAATCTGGCAGAGCTCAGGAAAGAAAGAAATCCGTTACTGAGTCGATTCTGACTCATAGTGACCCTATAGGACAGGGTAGAACTGCTCCATAGGGTTTTCAAGGAGTGACTGGTGGATTCGAACTGCCAACCTTTTGGTTAGCAGCCATAGCATGCCGTAGCTCTTAACCACTGCGCTACCTGGCTCCCAGGAGAGAAAAAGAAGGAGAAAATCTGAGAAAGGGCCACGTTGGAATCAAAAGGAGAATTAACGTTGAAAATTCAGCAAAAGACATGGATGATAGGCTCTTAAAAGTTGAACAAAGTGAAGTGGGAATGAATGGAGATACAACACATACCTGCTTGTTGTTTTGGAAATAATGAATTCAACATTAGAACAGAAAAACATTCAAATATATAACTTAAGAAAACTTTCCACAAAGGCAAGAAATCTTGATTGTACAGATTTAAAGAGCATGCTGTGACTGAGGAAAAACTAATATATAACCATCAATATCAATATATAACCTAGTTAGAAAAAAATGGATTTCAAAGGTAAGGAGTGCGTCCTTTGCTCAACCTATTAAAAAGATAAACTTTACTTACAGGGCAGTGGAGGGAATCAGATATTGTCAAGGGAATAATTAACCTTACAGAACAATGGTACAAAGCCTGTAAGTCACCAGGGAAAGAAAGTGTGACCTCAGAGCCAAACTGTCAATGGACAACCATTTTTGGACAATGCAAGAAGTCAAATACCTGTAAGTTTATTTTGAATAAACTATAAGAAGATGAATAGCAATTATCTAGTAGATGAATAGAGATGATGCAGCAAAAGAATTGACAGTAAACATTAATTCCATTTACTTGTAGAAATAAGACTGAAGCAACTATGGGATTCATGGTTACAGAATAGAATAGAGACTATAATAAGGTAGAAATAACTAATAAAAGTTAGGATTAGAAAAGGAAAGTAGCTAGGAGGCAGTATAAATTTGCTGATTTCCCCTTGTTTTACAGCTGGAGAACAAAAAAGATATATAAAGCTTAAAAATCAAGTAATAGAGATTTTCGTATATTTAAAGGAATGAAAATGAACACTTAAAGAACTGTGTATTAACACATTTAATCAAAATCAGCCAGTAGAGAGGAGGTAGAAATTGAACTGTGTTAAATTTGTTATCCTAAAGAAATAACCAGAGACCAAAAATGTTTATCACAGCATTCTTCACTATTGAAAAAACTGAAAACATACATGGGATATTTATAAAAACGGATGACATACTCAATCACAAAGGAAATCTCAACATCAGAGAGCTATCATACAGACCATGTTCCCTGACCAGAAACTTTCTCAATTTCTTTTGTGGGAGTGGTTCTCAAAGTATAGTCTCTAGATTTGCAGCATCAGCATCACTTGGCAAATTTTCAGAAATGAAAGTCAGGGGCCCTACCCTAGACCTAGGAGTCCTTGAGTAGCTCAAACAGTTAAATGCTTGGCTACTAATCAAAAGGTTGGTGGTTGAAACATACCCTCAGAGGTACCTTGGAAGAAAGGCCCAGCGATACACTTCTGAAAGGTTGCAGACTTGAAAATCTTACCGAGCACAGTTCTGCTCTGCACACATGGGGTCACCATGAGTCTAATAGACTTCATGACAACTGGTTTACTCCAAACATACTGAATCAAACTCTGGGGGTAAAGCCCCCAATCTCTGTTGGTCAGTTTTTATAAATACCCCATGTATGTCTTCATTTATTTGCAATTGTTAAGAATGCCATTATAAACCTTTTTCTTATTTCATCTTTGGTCTCATATCTGTTTCATTAGGATAGGAAATTACTAGGTCAAAGAATATTTTGTAGAACTTTAGATAACTTTTTCTTTGTTCTATGCTGGTTATTAGAGGTGAAAAAATACAAATAGGTTTTTGTCTCTTTGGAAATTATTTTTTTGTTCACAGAAAGCAAGATTATCTTCCTATCCAAAAAGATGAAAATGACTGAGTTACTTTCAAAAGACAGCCAAATGAGTGCTGCAGACTAATGAGTAGAATCAATAAGAACGTGATTTTGGCCCTTTTAACTTTGACAAGTTCTGCATTTCTGCTGTTTCAGTTGTACTACTACAAGCACTATTTATCAGCAAAGGTAATTTTCTTTCTTCTCCTTTCTCATCATTAGACCTTATTTTAGCTATATATTTTCCTAACACAGTTCCTTTTTGCAGTACATAAAATTAATCATGGTTTTTCAAATCCTTACAGAAGCATTTCTGACTGAGATTCTCATCTTTGTGTGAGTGTGGCAAGCTAGTCAAAATTGCAGTTAAATGTTATTGTAATAACACTGAAAATCCAAAGTGCCAAGTTTCAGTGGTGTTTAATCTATTGAAATTTTCTGATAGAGTTATGTAAAAATATGCTAAACAGATTATCCCTCATTTAAATTAACTCAATGATAAATAATTTTGATACCAAAATTAGGTTTTTTAGTTCAGTGTATATTGTAATTGTTACCTACCAGGGAAATAAAACGAACCTTTATTATAAATCTATAAACATAAAGAAGTGGAGACAATGGTTTGGAAACTAACAGCTCCTAAAGATCACACAGAAAATAACTATAGTCCAGATAAGAAATTCCAGAGTTAAGAAGGTGTTGCTGAATTGTGAAAATGTTACCAAACACTCCCCACCAGGGTTTATTATAATGTTAATAACTAAACACTCTGAGTTGAAAACTGTGCTAGATGCTTTGTATGCTTGACTTAACCTTAAAAATAATCCTGGGAAAATAAATAGGCTATGAACACACATACACATTTATTTATTTAATAACCCCAGGTGATAGGATTATTCTTCAGAAACAGTTGCTTCCTCCTCCTTCTGACTGAGGGAGTTACACTTCCCTGCCCTATTGATGCTGGGCTTGACCATGAGAGTTTTTTTAAGCTGGTAGAATGTTAACAGATGTATGCGGAGGCTTCAAATGGGCTGTTGTGATTTGACTTACGGCTTTTACTCTTCTGACCTGCCAGGAGTAAAACATGCTGTTCCTCCAGCCCAGGCCCCTGAATGACATGTGTGGAGCTGACTAACGCATAGCTGCCCTGTCTGAGTCACAGATCTGTAAGGGAGAAAATAAATGCATATAAGCCTTAAGATTGGGGGAGATTTATTATGCAGTGTTGTTACTTGGGCTTCCTAGACTTCATTTTATAGGTGAGAAAACTAGAGCTCTAACAGAGATGGTAGATAACTTACCCACCTAAATCATCTAGTTTCTAACATTCCAGCCTGATACATGTACCTAACCCTTTCTTTCTAGGCTGTACTATTTCTAAAACAACTGACAAGTACAGAGGCTACCTTACGACTTGGCTATTTAGCTAATGAATGTCTTTGTATGACGTTTTCAGCACTTTCCTAGTTATTTTCTTTGGCTAAATTCCTAGAGTAGAATTCTTGGGTCTAAAGGTAAGCACATTTTACATCTTGCTACATATTACAAAGTTACCCTCCACAAGGATAACTAGGGTGCCTGGTTTCCCATACCCTTTCCAAATGTGGAAATAATAATAACAATTAACAGTGTTAATGACTCTGTATTGGTTAGAGATGCTTTTGGCTAATTGTAGCTTAAACAAATAGGGGGATTATTTGTCTCATATCTAAATTCAGAGCCTCTGAAATTCTCTTGCCGTTTCCTCTTGTTGCAATCAAGACTGAAAGAATAAAGGATAGCATTAAGTAGGCTTTACTTTGGTGACGTTGGCCAGCAGATTCCTAGCTGCAAGAGAATCTGGGAAAGTAAGGCTGTTGTGTGGGTTTAAAAAAAAAAAAAATTATTGTTTAGCTTTTCTAGGCTCTGTAATAGAGATTGCAAAGGAGAAGGGGTTTAGAAGTAGGTGTTGGGTCAACATAGCTATAGCAGCTAACATTTTTTGGGGTGCTTTGTAGGCTAGGCGCTATGCTAAACATTTTACATACATCTGGTTCTCATAACAACTCCTTGAGTGGATCGTATTGTCCCCATTTTCCCAGAAGAAAAAATTGTGGCTTGGAGAAATTTCCTAATTTGCCCAAGATCACACAGTTGTTAAATGGAGGAACTTGAATTTGTTTTTAATTTCAAATTCCAGTCATTCATTGCTGGTATAAATCTGTTGCTGTTGAGTTGATTCCAGTTGCTGTTGTATAGCAAGGTAGTTGACTTTTGTACGTTAACCTTGTATCCTGCAACCCTGCTATAATTGCTTCCAGGATTTTTTTTGTTGATTCTTTGGGATTTCCTTATACATAATCATATCTGTGAACAAGACAGTTTTATTTCTTTCTTCCCAATCTGTATACCTTTTATTTACTTTCCTTGTGTAATTGCATTAGCTAGGACTTCCAGTATGATGTTGAATAGGAGTGATGAGAGGGGACATCCTTGTCTTGTTCCCAATCTTAGGGAGAAATCATCTGGTTTCTCACTGTTAGGTATCGTGTTAGCTGTAGGTTTTTTTGTAGATATTCTTTATCAAGTTGAAGAAGTTCTCCTTTATTCCTAGTTTTTATCACAAATCAGCGTTGGGATTTTGTCAAATGCTTTTCCTGCATCTGTTGATATGATCATGTGATTTTTCTTCTTTAGCCTGTTGATGTGATGAATTCCATTAATTGCTTTGTGAATGTTGAACCAGCTTTGCATACCTGGGATAAACCCCACTTGGTCATGGTATATAATTCTTTTTATCTTTGTTGGATTTGATTTGCTAATATTTTGTTGAGGATTTTTGCATCCATGTTCATGAGAGATATTGGTCTGTACTTTTCCTTCCTAGTAATGTCTGTGTTTGGTTTTGGTATTAGGGTAATGCTGACTTCATAGAATGAGTTAAGAAATGTTCCCTCCTTTTCTGTTTTTGGAAGAGTTTAAGAAGGACTAGTGTTAATTCTTCTTTAAATGTTTGGTAGAATTCTTCACTGAAACAATCTAGACCTGGTACTTTCTGTTTCGAAAGGTTATTTATTATTGATTCAGATTTCTTTAATAGATATATAGGCCTATTCAGATTTTCTATTTCTCTGTGGTAGGTTGTGTCTTTCAGAGAATTGATCCATTTCATCTAAATTATCAAATTGGTGGGCATAGAATTGTTCATAGTATTCCTTTATTTTTAATGTTCATATAATCAGTTGTGATGGCCTCTTTTTAACTCATAATATTAGTAATTTGTGTCTTCTATCTTTTTTCTTGGTTAGCCTGTGGCTGGAAAGATATCAATTTTATTGATTTTTTTCAAAGAACCAGCTTTAGGTTTTGTTGATTTTTCTGTGTTAATTTCCTATTTTCAATTTCATTGACTTCTGCTCTAACTTTTATTTCTTTTCTTTTGCTTACTTTGGATTTCATTTGCTGTTTCAAGTTTTCTAAGGTGGAAGCTTATATTGGTTTTAGACTTTTCTTCTTTTTTAATACATGCATTCAATGCTATATTGCTTTCATTGAATCCCACAGATTTTGATGTTATATTTTCATTTTCGTATAGCTCAAAATAATTTTTAATTTCTCTTGAGACTCCTTCTTTGACCCATGTGTTATTTAAAAGTATATTGTTTAATCTCCAAATATTTTGGTGTTTTCCGGCTATCTTTCTGTTATTGATTTCTAGTTTAATTCCATTGTAGTCCGAGAACATAACTTTATATGATTTCTGTTCTTTTAAAACTGTTGAAGTGTGTTTTGTGGCTCAGGATGTGGTCTTTCTTTGTGAATGTTCATGTAAGCTTGAGAAGAATGTGTGTTCCGCTGTTGTTAGATGAACTGTTCTATAAATGTCAGTTAGATCCAGTTGTTTGATAGTGTTGTTCAATTCAACTATATCCATTATCTGTACAAGTTCTTATTTTTTGTGTTTACTATTAAGAATAGGTAGCAATTGTAACATCTAAATTCAAAAATGTTAGGAATTATTGAAAAATCTGAAAAATAAATACATTATACCAAGCCAAGTATTAATAATTTTGTTGTTGTTAGGTGCTGTCGGCTTGGCTCTGACTCAAAGCCAACCCTGTGTACAACAGAATGAAACACTTCCTGGTCCTGCACCATCCTCACAATCGTTGTATGTTTGATCCCATTGTTGAGCCACTGTGTCAGTCCATCTCATTGAGGGTCTTCTTGTTTTTCGCTGACCCTCTTCTTTATCAAGTATGATGTACTTCTCCAGGGACTGGTCCCTCCTAATAACGTGTCTGAAGTATATGAGACGAAGTCTCGCCATCCTCGCTTCTAAGGAGCATTCTGGCTGTACTTCTTCCAAGACAGATTTATTCATTCTTCCGGCAGTCTGTGGTGTTTTCAATATTCTTTGCCAGCACCGTAATTCAAATGCATTAATTCTTCTTCAGTCTTTCTTATTCATTGTCCAGCTTTGCATGCATATGAGACAATTGAAAATACCGTGGCTTAAGTCAGGTGCACCTTAGTCCAAATGGAGCTCTGATGGTGCAGTGGTTAAGCACTTGGCTGCTAACTGGAAAACTCGCAGTTTGAACCCACCAGCAGCTCTGCAGGAGAAAGATACAGCAGTCTATTTCTTAAAGATTTACAACCTTGGAAAATATGGGACATTTCTACCCTGTCCTGTAGGGTTGCTATGAGTCAGAATCGACTCGATGGCAGTGGGTTTGGTTTTTGAAGTAATTTTACATTCCATAAAATGGAATTTTTTGATTTGCCTAGGTAGTGGCAAGACAAAGCCAATGACTTCCTTTGTAAAGGACCAAGAGAATCAAACCTTATGGTATTCTTGACTCAGTCTCATTAGCAGCAGTGGTACTTGCAGTAATCAGCTGGGAACTAAATACAGAACTCTTGGAATGTTTTGTCTGATAAGAGTGCTTTTGTACACCTGAGGCTTTGTGCCACTAGGCCCAAGTTTGACTGGATAGTTTATGCAAACAATGTGATTTATATTGAGCACCTACTTTTCCTCTGGGGGTCTAAAGTCTGAGTAGCTGAGGTCAGTCATGCAAGCGCTGCATGCCTTCACGACTGACACCCCCCCCCCCCAATAAAACCCCTGAACACTAAGGCTTAAGCGAGCTTCCCTGATTGGCAACACTTTGCATGTGTTGCTAGGGAAGTAAACACATCCC